ATGTCAAAATAGTGTGAGAGTTCAAATACACAGAAAAACTGAAATGTATGGGACTTACAAATTCTTTCCTGCTGCAAGACTTAAATTATTCAAATGTGCATTTGAAGCAGAAAGGGAAATCTTGGTTAAAAAAAACAAACAAAACACCAGGGAATACAGAAAATGATACACAGATCAATCTTAAGGGACATAATACTGCAAAATTGGACACCTCATCACAAGGAGTATTGTAAAGCTGAAAAATTGGATAAAAAGCCTTGAGAATATTTAGAGGGCCTAGAAGAATAGGCAATTTACCTTGGTGATAAATGAGACTGTACTGAAGTATTGTCCTGGGTTAACTGATGCTTGTATCCCTAATTGTTTGTTCTGTTTATGCTGAATAATAAGTTTTGCACCTTTAAGACTTGTTCCAGAGAGTGAAGGGGGGAGAGAAGATGCATGCAGTTTGTTTTCAGACACTGCACTCACTCCTCCACATTCCTGCTCCTGGACTGTGTAATTTGCGGATGGACAGACAGCGGGACTGAGCTCTCCTTTGTTTTAGTTAGTTTAGCTAGTGGAGGCAAAGAAGTTCCCTGGACTGTGTTTGTTTTTTTGTTTTTTTTTTTCCTTTTCTTTGGATCTGTTTAAACCTGCTCTGGACTGAACACCCAGAAGAGCACTGGCAGTTTGCACCTGTGGCCCGCTGGGCCTGGGCTCAGACATTTCCAGTGATGGAGGGACTGATAAGAGACTGAGTGAGCCAAGCTGCAACCCAGGGAGGGGACTTTTCTGAGTTTGTCATCTCTTTTAGAGCAGCAAGAGGTTTTTTTGTTTAATATTGTTTAGGTTTCCAGGTGCGAGCTGCAAGTGCTCTTCCGGGTATTCAGTCCAGAGCAGGTTTAAACAGGTCCAAAGAAAAGGGGAGAAAAAAACCCCACAGTCCAGGGAACTTCTTTGCCTCTGCTAGCTAAAACTAACTAAAACAAAGGAGAGGTCTGTCCATCCACAGACAACAACAGTCCAGGAGGAGGAATGTGGAGGAGTGCAGTGTCTGAAAACAAACTGCGCTTCTTCTCTCCCCCCTTCACTCTCTGGAACAAGTCTTAAAAGTGCAAAACTTATTATTCAGCATAAACAGAATGGATTATTGGGGATAAAAGCATCATATAGTCAACCCAGGACAAGTGTGTGTTTTATAAGACTGACAATCAAAGGAGTATTCTGGGGCAATGAAAGGTAAAAAATTTGAAGCTAAACAGGAAATACGTATATTATATCTCAGCTCTATAGATGAGGAAAAGAAATGGTGTGTGGATAAGCAGTGATAGTGATACTTGGTTGCCCACACCTTTCAACACTGAATTTAATGTTCAAGTATTACACCATCAATTGCTAGTATTTAAAATGGGATCCTTAAAGCAAAAGAGATTATCTTCTTTGATTTGGTCTTTTTCAATTTCTTGCAAATGCCTCTGAAGCATCTAATGTTGGCCTTGCTCAAATATTGAAGTCTTTTTATAACACTCAGAGTGACTGCTATTCCCTGTTCCAGAAACCTAGTGTGGGAGTTTGTTAAAACAGAGGCCATGCAAACCTCCTGTTTAATCTCTGGAGTTACTTCATGTACTGCATTAGGGGACTAACATGTTTCACTTTGAGGCTTGTGATCAGTTCAGAACATGCGAAAAAGGGAGTGTAAGACTGCCTATTTGGCTTTGCCACCAAAATAAACGATCTAAGTTAAAAGTACGTGCCCAGATTTGCATTTCCAGCAAAGCAGTCAATGCTACAATGGCTGCTGAAGGCTGGGACTGGAGTCCTCCATACATACTCCTGTAACTCCCCTGACATCAGCTGGAGTACTTACAGTACTCTGTGTGAGCTGCTGCAACTTGTTAACCTGAAAGAACACTAGTTCAGCAAAAAAGAAAACAAAAGCCACCTCTAAATGGGTCTGTTTTTACTTTGTTATTGTGAAAAACGCCAATCACTTGTTTTTAAAATTTTAAAAGTTTAATAGTAATAAATGGTTATAAAAATAGTAATATAATTACAGTAATAAAAATTTGGACAATTAGGATTAGGACAATACGAGACAATAAAAACAAAGTGTTACGGACAGTCCAGGTACCTCTTTCTGGGCAAAATAAGCCTGAAAAAGGACACATTAACAGAGGATTAACCCTTAAAAGCAATAGCCTGTCGCATATTCATACACCTCATACATGATGCATAAATTCCATTCAATCAAAGGATTCTGTCTGGTCGGTGTCAACTTCTTCCTCTTAATCCTGGCAGCATCTTCAGGGATGAGCGAGGCAGGAAGAAGTTAGTTTCTTCTGATAAGGGAGTATTGGAATAAGATCCCAATATTACCAGGCGGAACGTGCCTGGGCTCGTCTGACCCTTTCTGCTGGGCCAAAGGTGGCAGCTGTGGTGTTTCACCTCAGAGACACCTTTGGCTGGCTGGATGTTGCAGCCAGGCACTGGAACAAGTCCAGGCTTGTAGAAACTCAGTTTACCTCTGGTGGAAAGGCTTTTAGGCGACAGTGAAGACAAAAAGGAGAGGATTCTGACAGAGGGTTTATATCCAGAGTTTTATTCCATGGTCACGGACATCTGAATCTTGGTAACAGCTCCAACAGAATGCTGACCGCATGGTCCAGTCTCCTTTTAAGCCCAGGGACAAGGGGAGGGGAAGGGACAAGTGAGCACCAACCAGGTGCGAGGAGGAGGGTCTCAGGGGACAAATGACACTTGGCTACGCCAATGACCCCAGGCCTGAGGGGCATCTTTCGAACTTGACCAACCACAGACGGCCTTGCTGGAATGTTAAGATTGACTGACAGAACCTAGCAAGGGGGCGAGGGAGAGGGGGAAGGGAGAGGTTGGCATACCTGAGGGAGGAACTGGGAAAGGATATTGCTTCTCACCGCAACAAGGGAGCAATAAATTCTTTTTCTCTGAAAGATTTAGGTGTCCTGTGGCTGCTATCTCAGTGCGACTACCTCATTCCTCTCTTAAAAAAATATCTTACATAGCATAGTTTCTATTTTAACATTATGTTATAACCTAAAACTATATTTAACATACTACTTAAGAAAATTAATACAGCATAACTTTGTAACATAACACATAATATTCATTTTAATATTTGTGAAAAGCCAATCATAAAAAATGCATTTTTCACAGTTATCTAGCTGAGTCTTTGTGGTACAGTATTAGCACAGATGCAGAGGTGGTGGGGCCACAGGGTAGAAAAGGAGGGTTGTGCTTCCTGTGTCAGGAAGCTGTTGGGTTGGCTTGCCTCCCTATGAAACTACCCTGAGTGTCCTAGTCAGTGTTTAATTTGAAAATTTCTATGATTCACTTATTTAGGATAGATTATTTTTAATGGCTTGCATAAAGTTCCCAGTGTAAATCTTGAGACCGTGTTAATTGGAACTTATGTCTCCCAGATCTGAGAAAACTACATTTCTTGCTTCACCTGTGTTTTGAGGTGCTCTCAGAAGCTGGTTTATGGAGGTATAATTTAGTTGAAACTGAAATTTCATGCCTACTAAATGTTCTGTTTTGCAGAAGTTGAAAAGTTGATTTAAAGTTACTTGTAGAATATAATATAGTGTCTGTTGACTTGGTTCTCAGTGAAGCTGCAGATGTGACAAGGTATAAATTAGCCATAAATACTGTAGCCTGAAGTATCCCAAATCAACCATGCTGTTTTTCTGATGGGAAACTTCAGTAACATTAAGTTGGTGTATTCTGAAAAGAAGTGAGGAATGTACCTGTACAGGATGTAAAGACATGTAAGCTGCCTTGAGAGCTCAAATTGAGTAGACTGAATCTAGTGTTAAGTTTTAGCTAAAATAAGTTTTTTTCAGCTGACTGAACTAATTTATACAGCTTGGAAATAAGGGAACTTTCTGGCGTTTGTTCCGTGGAAATAAGATTTTTTTTTTTTTTTTTACTTCAATGCCATACTTCTATCCATAAGACCATTATGTACTTGAACAATTTCTAACAGCTGTCTGCCTGAAATAATGTGGCTGGTTTGGGGCTTATATTTTAATACATAAAACTAGTCTAATAGAAGCTCCAAAACCAAGATTTTTTTTCTAAATGGCTATAATTTTTCTTTTAAATTATTTGAAGTGCAAGTTGTAGTGAGTGTTAAACATAGCCCAACTTTCAGCATATCTTCTAATATTTCATTTCATATAAACAACCTGATCAGGTAATTGATACTGAAAGGCTATCAAAATTGAAAACGGACAGTTCTATTACCCATGTATCTGCAAACTAAGATTTTAACTATCCTTTAATAAATTTTGAAAGACTTGATGATTTTGAGCACTGCCAGTTGAGAAGATTATCTGTAAGCCACTGAACTCTAGATTGAAAGATGGAAATAAGCTTATTATCAGATTTAGATGTGAATTTTAAATTGGTGTACCAAAAATTGGTAGTTACTTAAAGCATGACAAACAAGGAGAAAAGTCTTGTGAAATGGCTGGCTCTTGAAAGACTTCTGTCAAGCTGTCATGACTAAATGACATTTCAAACACAATTTTGCTTGCTAAATTAATTTGGAGATGGGCAGAATGTGCATATCACTTGTGGAAAATTTTAATAAATTAATAGATCCAGCCAGCCTAGGTGCAAAGCTAGACTAGAGTTAACTTGTTTTTTTTTTTTCTTGGATTTAGCCAGGAAAGACTTGAGGAAAAATTAAATGTCTAATCCAACAGTAAACTTAGTCTGTGCTAACTGCTGAAGAGTCTGCAGCAAACTTGCATTTGAATTTTATTGATGAAGTACCTAACCTTTATGCAGACTTATCTGACTTATTTTAGGATGCAGGGTCCTATGGCATTTGGTAATAAAAAGTCTGAAGCAAGGTATTTGTTTCATGTGAAACCTCAGTGCTAATGTGTCTGTTTTGGTTTGTGTTTTTAGGGATCAGACGGGAATCTCTTTAATTTATTGCTTGCTGAGTGTTCTGTCTGGTGAAAGTCATGTCATCCATATTGCCATTCACTCCACCAGTTGTGAAGAGACTTCTGGGGTGGAAAAAATCTGCTGGTGGCTCTGGAGGGGCTGCTGGTAGTGAGCAGAATGGTCAGGATGAAAAGTGGTGTGAAAAAGCCGTGAAAAGCTTGGTCAAGAAGCTAAAGAAAACAGGACAGCTGGACGAGCTTGAGAAGGCAATTACCACTCAGAATTGCAGTACAAAATGTGTGACAATTCCAAGGTAAGTGCTGTTATGTTTAAAATTGTTACAACCACTATGGAAATAAGTAAATGGATGTTTAGGCTAGCTGAACAAATTACTAGAAAATCAGTTGCATGCTTTGATTCCTTACAAATTCTTTAAAACCTATTTTGGTTTTTAATAGTGCTTGCTCATAACTGAATCACATGCTTTGTAAAGTTACAATTTCTAATATCTTTGTTTCAATTTTCATTGCTGTTTAGATTCAATTTCTGTGTATACTGGTGGTACCTAGCACAGTTCTTAGTTTGCAGCACTGCCTTATGGTTTTATTTAATAACTCTGTCTATAGTCTGAGGAGCATACTTGAACTTTCATTTTAAAAATAAGACTAGTTTTTCCTTGGTCAACACTTCAGTCATCTATTTATTTTCTATTGTGTCTGGTAGTTTCAGTTAAATTGTACAAGCTGTATCCATTCTCCCTTTTGAAGTTTTGTCTTAGGAGGCACACTGTCTGAAGACTATGTTAATTCTTTGTTATTGGTTATTGTAAATGCTTTTTTATTGAATAACTTGAAATATTTCTAGAACTGTTCTTCCACTCTTGATATGTATATACATTTAGGTAAATAACTTGCATTCTACCGCTTTGTCTTTCTCAACTTAATTCATAGCAACTGCTGTGCGAGGGGCAAGGGTTATGTTTGTAAGTATAATGTGGTCTGTTTTCCATTCATGTTGTACAGAAATACTGCTAAGGTGCCTGTGCAAGCTCATTGTGTGCAACACAAGTATCAAATCACTTCACAGGTGTGGTTTTCTATGAAAAAGAGGATCTGGTGACATGGGAATATTTTGGGCGTTTAGTGCCTTGACACTTAAAATAATTTCTAGGGGAGAGAAACTGCATCTGGTTTATGACCCTAATTTCTGTATTAGCATGTTCATCCCAACTACTTTTAAACTTTTATTAATCATAGCACAAACTAGGTTTGACTGGTGTCACTGACGATTTCCATATATCAAATGTATATAGCTCCTATAATGGTTCTAGTGTTCTTTTAGATTTGACACAGCTGTTTGGGAAAATCATGAGTATGCTCTGAATAAATGACTACTTTAATTGTATTTTCTCTTTTCTATCCACCTTTTGTTTCTAATGCTGCCCTCTGCTTGTATTTTCTTCCCTAGAGCAGTTCCAAAATTATCTGGGTTTCCCTTCTGCTTTCTTCCTTTTGCTGGCTGGAAAACAATCGGAAATAAAATATTAGCTCTTTCTTGTCTTGGTGTATATCAGTAGACTAAGATTGGAACCTGTAGGGGTATGTATTTCTTGAGTTGACATAAGATGACTATGTATTTAGCAAGCCTTTACCATGATAAAGACAAAATGCTTTAATTGCAAGGTGTTTCATATGACAAGCTAAATATCCCATATAGAGATTCACTTGATATAAAATGTGTATCTATCTTCTAGAGCTCTCCTGCAAAGGTACTGGGGCAGTAAATATTCATATTTCAAAAGAACAGTTGTCTAATTTTTCTAGAGGATTTAAACAGTATGCTAATATACAATTATTTTCCTAGTCTACATTTGGTATGTCCTGCTTGCATGACCTTTTGTGTGACATACTAAATAATTCTTTAAAACAAAATACAAAGCTCTATGATACTCTGTATAGCCTCCATGTTATGACCAGTAGTTCTTGCTGGGCTGTGATATACTGTTCTCCTCTATCCTCCAGTAAGCTGTAAAAAGTACTGGACCTAGGTTTTACTTTTCTTAACTACCTTAGGAGTAAGCTAGTAGCTAGAGAGCTCTTGAAGTGATGTTGGCAATTGTACAAGGTTTAATTTTAAACTAAGAAATGGCTTTAGTATTAAGGGGTGAGATTATTTCAGGCTTGCCAGAATTATTGAGTTTCATAGTTAGGTTTTGGATTGTTGATATTATTTCACTTTGATAGCAGGAGTCTGGGTTCCCAGGAAATAAAAAATGTCAACTCAGTACTATAATGACTTCTGGAGATTCTTGTTCTTGGATTTAGTAAGTTAATGACACTGCTGATTGAAATCTATTTAATGAATGTCTTAATGATCTGCAGATCAGCTGGGATAAATAATAAAATGCTGAATTTGGACCTTTTTTCCTTCCTAGTCAACAGAAAGTTTGAGGTGCCAAGATGCTGTGATGTAGTTCTGATGTGGCAGCTGGGCTAGCTTTTCAAACCTTGTTTTGCTTGGGGAGGGTTTTTGTGTTTGATTTTGTGTGGGTTTTTTAAACTTCCTTTAGATTTACTTACTAATACTCAGTGTAGATATTGACAAACGTGGGATGTTTCTGTTTCCCACTGTTGCATTATTTCCTCAACAGAAGTTTCATTTGTGATTTCACAAATTTCTGGTCCCCTTGGAGATTTCCAGAGAGTTTGATACAGTACTTTAGTATACTTTTTCATCATAGAAACCTAAAGCAACTAAACACCTACAAGCTTTTCTCAAAACTGAAAGCAGCTTGAACAAAGGTTGTATTAAATTGCCTCTTCAGAAATCTGCATATTATATATTACTGTGTCATTGATAATCCTGTTGAATTAGGATTGCTCTGTTCCTATGCATTTGTCAAGATGACTACATACTGAGGCTGTTACTGTGTGTGCTGTGCAAAGGCTGCTCATGTTGTAATTAACAGAACTTCTTATGCAGACTAATAGAGGTTCTGAGAAAGCAGAAGCCAACAGATGGAGTGGGTGTTGGCATTGCACAGCAGGGATGCTTAACTCTTCATAAGTGGGTCAGTAATCTAGAGCAGAGGCTGAACAGAGGTCCTTTTGACACTAGCCCTCTAAGTAACTTGTAGTTATCTTGCTGAATCCTCCCAGCAAGCCAGTGGGATTTTAATCACATAATCCCTGAGTATCTTGAAACTAAATGTTGGCATGTGAATCCACCATTTATATGAGTCTTTTAATGGAGCAGTTTCTTCCTTATTATCATGGATTGCTCTGTTGAAATAGAATCACAGAATCATAGAATAGTTTGAGTTGGAAGGGACCTTAAAGATCACATAGTTTGAACCTCCCTGCCATAGGCAGGGATACCTTCCACTAACTAAGCAAGGTTGCTCAAAGCCCTGTCCATAAATACTTTGCAATTAGTGGTAGCTAAAATCCAAGCCTTTAACAAACCAAACCATGCCACATAGTCAATAGTCAAATGGCATATTCATAGTTTATCTTCATTATTTAAAAAGTTCTTTCAGCGATGACAGTATACAGTATTGGAATCCAAAGCAGAGAAACAACTAGTTTCATCATCTCAGTATTTTGGTGTGATCAGCTGTGTGGCTTTTCTGTCATTAAAAGAGTATAGATATGCTTCATGCCTTCTTCTTGCTTCTTTTAAATAGACTTGCCAAATGCACTTGCTTTTGTAAAATGCCTGATAATGTACAACTAATAAGAGTTTAGTTGGGGCAGGTTTGGGATAATGTTGGCCTGGAATGTTGTAGCTCCTATGTTTTTAAAACTGAAATAAAGCTAGTTGAAGGGAAGCATTGAGTTTAGACTTCTTCATGATGTCCTGTGTTCCTCTAGAGCATATGTCTGAAAGCTAATGCAGAACTGACTGTGTCCTTCCTGAGCTGTAACTGAGTACATCCATAGGTATTAATTAACATAGGTTGAGTTCTGCTTCCATGCAAACATTTGAAAAATGTGATGACTGTATTAGGAATTTATTTTGTATGAAGTATTATTACTAAAACTGCAGAATCTGGTGAAAGATCATCAAACATGTGAAAGCAAGACCATTTTACATGGTCAAATTTCTCTAAGGAAATTATGAATTTCTCTAATATACTAATGTTATTCCTTTACTTGCTAGTCCTGCAGCCCTTTTTTACATTCCCTGTAGTGAGTTGGCACTAAGGATAAGATAAGCAGCCTAGGCATAGCTTATGGTACATGTTAAAATTGTTTCCTGAAGGCTCACTCTCTTTATTAGTTAATATGAGCCTCCATACATGGAACTTTAGTGCTGATCATAGTGTCTGCAAAGGAGTTAACAGCAGAAGTAAACTAGGCAAAGATGGGATAACTGACTTGGAACTGCTGTTTCAGAACAAAAAAAATATTTTATAATTATGACATTTTGAGGCCTTTTCTTCTCATAACTGAATAAAAATAATTTCTAATTTAGGTCTAAAGGGCACAGTTTTTCTTGAATATAACCTGTGCTACTTGTTAGCATGTTTTCTTTAATTCCTTGGGAATATTTGTCAGGAAAGTGATCACATAGCTGCATGCAATAACCTAGTTTTAGGGATGCTTTTGATCACCAGTAGGGCAGAGGTGTCAAGCTAATGTGGCTTTTAGAATAAATTGTTTTCAAACTTTAACATCTTTCCCCAAAATAGGTTGCTTTAGAGTATAGCAATACAGGTTAAATCCATTGGAAATGGATGGTTTCAACAATTACACTTGGGGGGAAGGAAAAGTTCCTCTGGAAACTGTTTTAGGAGAGTTCCCAATATCTGCTGCTAAGCTATGAGTGCATTAGGTAAGGGGACAACAGCAGGCAGTTGGATTGACACAGTAGATCCTAAAATAACATTGCTATCCAGACAGAGGTGAAGTCTGTTTTCCCAGAAGCAGAACTTGGCACTGCTAGTTTGTAGCAGAGCTGGGATAATTCACTATTGAAGTTGGGGATGGACATTGATTCTTAATCATAGCTCACAAGTTGAGAGTTGCTATATATAAAGAACATTCTTATGGCATATACCATATCTCAGTCTGGATGCATTCACTTAGCTGTAAATTGGTTCTATGAATTTTTGAAGACTATAGTTGAACATCTTAAGCTTTCTAAAATAAGTATAGTTATTTAAACAGTGCATCAAAATACACTATTTTTATTGCTGAGGTTACAGGAAGAATGTGCTTGTAAATTGTTTGTTTATAAACTGACTCCCTTTTCTTATGACAGGATTATTGAGGGTGAAGCAGAGCTCCCTGTGAGTTTTCTCTTGTTGGA